AGTACTGGAAGCATGTGTGCGATGGACGTAACCACCCCCCCCCCACCCCCCCCCACCCCCCCAAAGCATGGAACGACCAATGGATGCAATAGGATTAGGAAACCTCGGAATCAAGGAGGTGTTCGGCGTGTAACACGAGGAAAACACCGCAAATACCGATGTTTCCGGCGTGCAACACGCGCGAAACACTGTAAAGACCGATGTTTTGGGCCTGTCCCAAAAGGCGAAAAGTGGAGGAGCCGAAAACACCGACGGCAGCGAGGGTTTCGGCATGTGACCCTAAGGAAACACTGTAAATACCGAGGAAATCGGCATGTCGGTTTTGCGCGGGGACATGCGTCTGGAGGGAACAACAACAACAACACAAACAGTAACAACAACTACCGCCGCCGCTGCAGCAGCACCACCAAAAGCAGCAAACCAATTGACAAACACCCCTGGATCAGTGCAGCTAATTTCGAGCCCCCGACCGAGGATGTGAGCTCGTCCTGAAATTAAATTGATAATGGTCAATGGAATGAATTTATTAAAACTCCCGAAAGATATTGAGGCAGAGTTTGGTGGGTTAGGGTTCGTACCACTTGCAACGAGTGAGAGTCTCTCTCGCCACAATTGGCTCTCGCAGGTGAAGGGTCTAGGGTGTGTATCTCGCCCCACCACAGTTCATTTGTTCTCCGCAATACTGCTTCGCTGTATGCTGACCTTTGCACCAGTCTTGCTCCAAACCTGAGACCAGTGATGCCCTAGACCCAAAGGACCTAAATCCAAACCTCACTCTGAAACCACCTCCCCACGCCCGAGACAAGCAGCCACTTCCCAACAACCCGAGTTGAACAGCGCATCTGTAGAACAGGTTCCGAATCCAACTCATCGTCGAACCACCACTTCTGAAAACCCCCCCTGGTAAGCTCTTACGTGCCTCGATGTCCGCCCAAGATGATCCGGAGCCCTGGTTAAAAAAGGCACCAAGGTTGAACCTCGGAGCATGCTTTGCAATGCTGCGATGCTGCTAAAGGCTTGCTGGAAATACTATAGGGGCCGGAATAATTGCTAATTGGATTCGCTTATGATCCCTTTGTAGATATACTACATTAACCCCCAAAACCCTATTCTAATCATTCAGGCCTTTATTGTTACACCATACTACCCACCAAAACCCTATTCTAACTATTCAGGCCCCTGTATATAGCATTACTTGGCGTTCAGGTCTGGAGCCCTCGGGGGTCAAGTTGAAATGTACAGGCATTGCACGGGCGGGATTGTCAGATAGGACTTTGCCACCAACTTGCCCACTGATGTACCCGTCAAAGAGAGCTTCTGAAAGGAGGGCTTTTCGTGATATGGGGGCATGTAAAAGTTGCGCCCATGCAGGTTTATGTATTTGATGCTCAAGGCTTGGCCCCAATGACCCAAGAGCTTGTGAAGAAACCCGCACCCGGAAAGAACACTCAGGGAGCTGAGATGTTGGATGGATTCTGGTTGAGGCGGTTCAGGTGGTTTCGGCGACTATGACATCCCCGGCTCAAGCACGTTGTGAAATGTCGGAGGCCCCCACCTCTGAACCCTCAAGACCCACTCCTGAACACATGAACAGCCTGAACCCGACCTGGCAGATCTCTTGGAAAACAAGAACGGCACCATCCTGAACCGAGCCCTGCACCCACCTTTCCCTTCCTGCGCGCCGATGTGGCTCAACAGGACAATCTGCAGGGCTGAGTGTTGGATGTTGGGCAGGTTGCGGAGACTTGTCGGAAGATGAAGGGGCATTAGGATTTCGGATGATGCGGTGGACAAGCGCAATCCTCCGCCCACACTGTCATCAAAGGTTGCTGCTCAGGATAGTGGGCTCGATGCGATGCAGATGTCTTCCGGATCCCTAAACCCTAAACCCTAAACCCTATATAACCCCTCAACCCTAAATAAACCCTAAACCCTATAAACCTTGAACCAGTACAAGTATGGGTGCCATGAGCCCGGCCCTTAGTTAACATGTTCCGTTCTGACGGACTCCACTCGTCTCGAACTTAGGTTTCTGACGGATTGAGACCAGGCAGGAAAGGACGGAAGTAAACTGCCCTAAATCCTAAGCCTAAACCCTAAACCCTAATGATCCGCCCACTCGGGTCTGGAGACGGCTTGCTGGGGGGAATTGGGTCCGGAGAAGGGCAGAGGGCACGAAGCCCGTAATGGAGGAGGAGGAGGGTTTAGGGTTTAGGGTTTAGGGTTTAGAGTTTAGGGTTTAGGGTTTAGGGTTTAGGGTTTAGGGTTTAGGAGGAGGAGGAGGGCTTAGAATGGCTTATAGATCTTTCCTTGGAGGTTTGACGCAGATTGACAGAGCTCTTGTGTTGGCAACCACCAACTCAGCTGAAGTGTGAGGAACCAAGGACGAATGGCTCAGGTGGAGGAAGAGGCCCAAGAGGGTTTAGGGTTTAGGGTTTAGGGTCCTGGGCACACTTGAAGTGTCCACACTCGGCGACTCAACTCGGCTTCTCAACCTATAGCATCCTTTCTTGGAGCTCAACTTCCCCTTTGCAAAATTGTAGAGACCGTCGTGACACTTGTGCGTGCTTTAAATCAGAAGAAGGGGTTTGAAAAAGAAAAGGTGGCCGGCCCAAAAACTGTTTGCTTGCGAAAACTAGGCATCGCACGTGTGAGACTTGCTTGAACTTAAAGCCTCGTTTCACCACCTGTCTAGGCGGCTACTTTAGGGACTCTTACTCCACCTTTCCGGTAGCTGGCCACGCCCTCCATCGGCAGAGCCATGGAGTTCCGTTTGAGAGTCTACTTCTGCAAGCCGTCCGAAGCAGAAGAAATCAAGGCCAAGATGCAATTTCCCCCCCCCCCCTTCACCCCTCCTCACCCCTTTGCGTTACGATTGACATCTTCCGAAAACTGTCGGAAGCATACAGCGCAGGGCGCTGGAACGTGCGCGCCACCAGAAACCAGATACTTACCTATTTCATGGTCTTCGACTTCGGCATGGATTTATGGATTTGGTAACCCTAAACCCTAAACCCAACCCGCCCCGAAGCTTTGCACCCACCTTGTGGAGGCAATCTGGTGAAGAGCCGACCACCGCACGTAGGCCGAGCTTCGCTCTTTCCAAGGCCTCGTCCGAGACCTGGGACTCAGGTTTTGGATTTGGGCCTCCAGTTTCGGTGAGCATACTGCGGCAGAGTAGATTGAGTTAGGACTAGGGGCTTGGGTTTTGCATGTGTGGCTGGGTATGTGGAAGCTGCCCCAACATATCACTACGGGAAGAACCTTCGCAAACAATTCCCTGTGTATCTTCAGCAGGAGGAGAAGGAAATCATGCCGCGGCAAACCTGAAGATGTTCAGAACTTCGGTGAGCAAAACCCGCTTCTCATCTTTGCTCCAAGCAGCCTCCTTTGGATCTGGGCAGATGATTGCAGCCTCACGACGAGAGTTGAGTTTGCATAACAAGAGAAAGGACCTCGGACCTGGGAGGATCTCAGGGGCCGACTTTGTGGTTTGTGGAATCAACTCTGCAGCTGAGCTTTTCTCGGAATCTGAGAATGCTTTGCCGCTTGGTTGGCAGCTTGAAGGGGCTGCAAGACATGATATGGCTTGAAGTTCTCATTACGGCTGCAAGCAGCTGCCGAGGAACTCAAGAAGCCGACGCACCTGACTTTGGCTCAGAGTTGAGGCGCTGAAAGCTGAGGGCTGATTTGGGGCCCGAGCCGTGCAGTTCTTCAAGCTTTCGTCCACTTCTTCGAAATTGAGCCTGTCACGTGCTTGCGCCAGCTGCTAGAAAGCGCTGGACGTTGCTCGAATGCAAGAGACACCGCCACGCAGAAGGCTCACATTGCATGCTCTTGCGAAGACCTAGTGCCTTCAACATCTGAGGGCGCTTGGGAACGCAACGGAGGGAGCGCGGTCATTCATTGGCTTCTTTCTTGCCATCGAGTTGGCACTGAAGCCCAAGCTTTGGCCCCCAGAAGAGGCGTTGAAGGCTTTAGGCCTGAGGCACTCAGAAGTGGCCCATATGCCGCTCGCGGACTCACTGCATGTCAGCAGCTTCGCTACGACATGCTGCATTTTGCTGCCCGTCTACCACGGGTTTCTCGTGATGGCTTGTCTGGAGATCCTGGACCCAGCACCAGCACCGTCATACTGCAACATACACGTGAATCCACTCAGTTGGGTATGTTAGCATTCCTGCTGCGGGTGCCGGCTGACGTCTATGTGAAACTAAAGGCTGGCAGTTCGGTGCAACATTCCCCGATCTGAGCTCCTAGCCTTTTGCTGCAGAAACTAGACACCGGTCACTAGTACCTCTTTGGCACAAGTCCTCCCCACAACAGAAAAAAAGAAAACCATTGCACCTGCGACCTAAACGCATCCCTGTGGTCCGTGCAAGTAACCTTCGCCACTGCCTCCGGCCAACAGACGCCAGACGATGCCAGTCAGCCAAAAAGGGGCAACCTTTGCCCTGTTGGAGATTTTTGCAGGGTTACTGGAGCTCCCTGGAGGCCCCTGAAGGCCCTTGGAGGCCCCCGGCAAGGTTCCTGAAACTTGCCTTTTGAGGAACAACGTGTTTCGGGGTCTGAAACTAGGGTCCGGTAGCTGCTGCATCGATATCTTCCTCCAGCTCGTCTTCCTCGCCGGGGGGGATCCCTGGATCTTGGGTGCCTGGAGGCTTTTTTCCCAATTCTTGTCATCTCGGACCTTGTGGCTTCTTCTCTGGACCCGGTTTCAGTGGCTACAATGGCTACAAGCATAAGCCATTATAGGCATCCTAGCTGCCTCCCATCATGGCGTCACGGAATCAGAACGCCTGTTGCAACAGCCTGTACAATGAGCACCCCACGACCCCATAGGGAGCACAACCCTCACATACCCTCACATAGCACCACGCCGAACAACCGCAGGAACCTCGACCCAGCTGAGGCGGTGCGCGCAAGCGTTTAGTACAATACCATGCGCCCGCACAGGCGCACGAAACCGCCAGGCCAGACAAGTATTCTCATCAACGCTCTCACTGCAGCTGGTGGGTGATGGGGTTGGCCAAGCCAGAGTTGAGCATCTTCATGTGCCCCTGCACCTTCGAAGCAGGCACGCCCTCTTCGGAGAAATCGCGCCGCTGTTTGGAGGGCGCTTCAGGAACGTGAAGAAAACTATCAGGGCCAGGGCTGGCAGATGAAAGGTGTAAAGCATCAACTAAGGGGCAAACATGATTTGTCCAGGGTCTTTGATGCAGGGTTGCTCATGTTCGATGTGGCCTGAAGTGAGAGGCCTTTCAATACAGAATCTGAATGCAGAGCAATGAGGTTTTGAAGGTTCTAGTTGCCCGGGCAGGCATTTTGTGGCATTTCGGGGCTCAGGACGTTAAGGGAGTGGAGCGGCATAGCTTTGAGGGTTTTGTGTTTAGGGCAGAGCTTAGGCTTTTGTTCGGCTTTTCGATTTCAAGGCTGGGCTTTTAGGACGGAAAGTCTTGAGAGGGTTGATGGTTTTCGGGGTTTGGCAAGTTTTGGCGTCCTTTCTGAGATCTCGAGTTTTCCGGTTTGGGGTTTGAGGGTCCACAGTCCTTGGGCTAAGTGCTTGGTGCGGAGTGTCGTTGCGAGTTGAATGAAAACCGAACTCACTCGACCCGCTGCTCGAAAACACTCATTTGTGGCACCCCATTTCTTCGGTGGCAGACTCTAACGACCAGTCTGCCGGCGTAATCAGGACCCAGTGACTGTTTGGAGGGGTCCCGAAGCTTCGCCGTAAGGACAAGCATCCCGGAAGAATATTTCGCTCAGTGCATCATTAAGATCATATGGTGGCCCCTTTCCGGGGGGCGGCAGGGCCGCACACTAAGAGGGAGCCTCACAACCCGAAGACGTGATAGGGGCAATGAACTCCGACTTGAGCTCAGTGTCTCGAATAAGTGCATCCTTAAACAAAGGGAACCAGGAACAACAAAAACAAGAACAAGAAACTGCTTGCCGCCCAGTGGGCCGCGCGTGCGAAGGAGTAGGAGTCCCTTGCCTGGCTGTGATGTCTCATGGGTTTCTACCCAACGCCAAATCAGAGCAACTCTTAAGGGGGGTGGTTCCCTTAAAACAAGGGTTGCAGATCGCCAGACCCTTGAATCACACCTGGTTTCGGCACTTTTGTCCGAGGAGACTTCGCGATTTTGCTTGACATCTTGATATTATGAAGATGGGTGGCCCTGTTGGCCCTATTTGCAGCTGAAGGGCTCATCTGCCCGCCATGTTCCCAAATCAGTGCAGACCCTTGGGACATCCACCTCACCTCTAGCCTTCGCAAGTGGACTTCAACCCAAAGCCGCTCCTAAATGAAAAACAACGCTTTCTGATCCGCAATGATCCACAGGTCCGGCCACAATCTCTCCTTTTACGCCAAGCCCAAGCATGCCGTGGCCGACGTCGAGCACTGTGGTAGGCAGTGGAGCACAGCCGGGGCGCCCGACAGGGGGGAGGGGCGCCTTGCTGGGAGAATCCAGGGGGGTTTGTAACGACTCCAAGCTAGAGAGCATGTAGTTGGCAGGGCTCGAGCTTCCAGGATTCGAGAATCAGAGAATTGTGGGGTTGAGGCAGCAAGCCTTCTGTCGGGTTTCACACATCACAAGCATTGCTAGCTCGGTTGTTTCAGGCATAGTTGTTCACAAGGGCCCCCATGAAGTTGCAGGAAACTGCTATCAGATGCAGCTGCTACCGCAACACAAACAAAAATCTCTGAAATCCAAGCAATACATCTAACCCCTTGAACAGCTCTGGGATCTTTCCTGTGCAGCGCAGGAACAGGGTCTAGTCCAGTAGCCACGGAACACGAACCTACAAGATACCGACCCCAAAGCAACACAGCACACGCGCGCCAGCTCCTGACACCACCTGCGCAAAGCACCCGACCTGCGCAGCAAACTGTGCGAGGTCCTGCAGCAAAGTTTGAGAACCAACCCTAAACCCTAAACCCTAAACCCTAAACCCTAAACCCTAAACCCTAAACCCTAAACCCTAAACCCTAAACCCTAAACCCTAACCCTAAACCCTAAACCCCAAGTTCTCGAGGATGAGCACTGCAAAGCATTCGGACAGGAATGCGGGCAGACTTTGACTCAAAGCGTAGCTCTATGGGCCCTTCGTATGGTCCCTTACCTTCTTAAAGGGTTCTGAAGTATGGGGTCCTGAGAGTAGAAAAAGGGCTTCCCATGTAAGGGCCCCATACCAAGCGACCATGTAACTACCCCAAGATTGATGCCAGCAGTTTGGCTGGATTTGGCCTGGACATTCTTCTAGGGTTTAGGGTTTAGGGTTTAGGGTTGGTGGGTTATGAGGGCTTGCATCGGTTGGAGTCCTCGGATTTCTGAACGGAGAAGATAGGCTTAAATGAAGCCTTCATACTTGACTTGGTGGCAATGGGTGCCCAGCAAGCGAGTCCATCCCCAATTACTGTCCCTAGGAAGTTGAAAGCTTATTACTGACCCCAGCTGAAACCAAGCTTTGCGATGCACCCCCTACACTCTTCAACTCCGAGCCATCACCCTAAACCCTAAACCCTAAACCCTAAACCCTAAACCCTAAACCCTAAACCCTAAACAACCATGCAAGATCCGAGACCTCAGGTAGCGGTGCGTGGGCCAAGGTCGGACGTTCACGCTCCAGAAGTGTGGCCTCAAAGACTTCGTGGGACTTCAAGGGTTTAGGGTTTAGGGTTTAGGGTTTAGGGCACCATCACCAACCCGAAACCTTGATTGCCGCCTTAACTTGGCATCTGAGGCTGGGTCCAAGCCACAGCCTTTAGGTTTCGGGCTCGTTCTCTAAACCTCGAAGGTGGTAGCGGCTCTGAGCTTGCCCGAGCTTCGTGCAAAAGGCGCCCCAAAGCCGCGATTCTTCAGCCTGCATGAAGCAAATTCCGAGGTCGCTGAAATGGCTTGGGGTAAGGTTCCTAAATCCGAGTAAAAACTCAAACTGAGGTCCAAGATCCCAGCCTGCAAAAAACCCTAAATCAAGAAGGCCTTGATGACCTAAGTGGGTTTAGAACCACATACCGTGCACTGCAAGCCCAACGCACAAAACTCTGCACCGTCACCGCGCCGCGGCACGGCGGAAGCCAGAGAGATGTAAGTTATGTCACCGGAATGCTGTGAATCGTCAGATGTGTTTGGGCCCTGCTCGTCCTTTCCCGGCAGTCCGATCGCGGCTCATACATGATGCATCATGATTAGAGCAGGTTTGGAGCCGACAGAGACCCCCATTTTTTTTCTAGAGATCTGAGCCCACTACAATGTATAATGCATGCAGTGTCCAGCACGCAAGCCCCTGGCGCAAACCGTCTGCACCCAATCCGTGCCTGGCCACGCTTGCCGTGTAGTGCGCCTTCCAAGCGCCCGTGGGTATGCAGCGGCAGCTAGCTACAAGCTGGAAAGTGGCCAAAATGGCACCGTTCTGCCGCATTTTCTGCACGTAGGTGGGAAAAGTTGTACTGGCATAATGTGCCAGTACAACCTTGCTATGCTGTTGCGCCTGCCTTGTTTGGAGAATGTTTCGTAAATCTCATCCATGCTCACTGTGAATGTCTGCAGCAGCAGGACACCATACCAGACGAAGCAATGCACGCTTCGAGTACTGCGAGCCTCGTGGAAGGAGGAGGGTGCGTTGACACCCGGTGCCGGGGCCTGGTAACTGCACTGCAACAACTCGAACCTGGACTCGAACCCCCCACAAACGTGAACTTCGAACCCCGTGGGCATTTCTGATGTTCATGAGCTGGGCTTGGCAGGAAAAGCTCAACAAGACAATTCGAACAGGGCTGAAGGACGTGGGGGCCTAGCAGGTGTAATATGGTGTAATATACACCGGAGGGTTCCAGGATGTTCCAGGATCTGGAGCACCTGTCCGAAAAAGGCGGCTCTCCCAACCAAATCCCTTACTTCCTTACTTTGCCAAAGCTTGCTTGGCGTTGAGAGCAACATCTAGCCGCCCGGTCCCCCACCCCTCCCCCTCCCCACCCCCCAGCTCACAGTCCGAAGAAACGAAGCAATCTCAAGCAAACCCCGAAGAAACGGAACCAACAGCAAGAGTACCAACGGAACGGCGGTTTAATCGAAAAAGAAGCTGGCGGCCGCACCAAGAGGCCATGGCCCGCGAAGCGTGGCGGACGAAGGTCTTCGCGCACCACATGGATGTTGCCTGCAGTGCACAGTTCAATCCAGAGGGCTGTCATGTGTCGTCAGGCTGCAGCAACTTACACTCAGCGCAGCTTCCCCAAAGCTTATCAACGCTTTTGAGTTCTGAGATCCCAGCTGCTTGGAGTCCCACACAAAGGTGCAGGCTGGTGCAGGCTCAGAGTTGGTACAAGAAATGCGTCACTTATGGTCAATTCCATGCCCAAACAGAGGTAACTCCCAGTCGAAACAGCAAGCTCGTCACCTGAAAGCCAAACGCCGTGACATCATCGAGGCCCCAAAGTTGCACGATAAGGTGTTGTAATGTGGAATCATTTGGAATCGTTTAATATAAGGGCCTGAAGCAGAAGAATAGGGTTTTGGGGGCTATTCTAGTATATCTACAAAGAAACCACAAGGGAAAAGTATCAACTAGTAATGCTTCCGACCCCTATGTGAATTGCGAAGTTGGGGTCGCCTTTGGTGAAGCCAGGTCGTAGTGGCCTCACGTGCGTTGTCTGCTTTCCGTGTTTCAGCGGCTTCAGGGTTGAAGAGCTTACTTTTTGAAGAGAGCGGTTTAGGGTTTAGGGTTTAGGGTTTAGGGTGTTTCAAGGATTGATGGTGGGTTCCTGGTCTTCTGACCTCTTCCACGGGTTCCTGGCAGCAGGCAAAGACTTTTGTGGGCTTAGAATGCCCAGCAGGACTCCTGAGGCTATAGAGCTCTTTTTGCCTTCGACAGACTCTCGCCTCTCTCAATATCCCCCCCCCTCTCCCCCCAGATTCGAGGTAGCTGTCCTTCCCCTAAACTTAAACCCTAAACCCTAAACCCTAACCCCTAAACCCCAAACCCTAAACCCTAAACCCTA